GTTACCGAATGCTCAGTTCTTCTGCCTCAGACAGTGTTCTCAGGGAGGATTTCCTGAGTGTTCTCCCAGTGTGCTCCAAACATTAACATACAAGGACATCCTCAATGTGAGTAATAAATTCCTTTATATGCACACATAGTGTGTTTACTGGGGTTTTTAGTTTCTCAGAGGGAATCTTTTTTAATCACTGGAAAATCATAAAATTCTCAACTCTTCACAAAATCACACACATATTTTATTGGTCTGTAGTCAAGTAACCCTGCCTGTCAGGAAATGATTATCCCAGCAGCAGCATGTTTGGGTTATTTGTGAGTGTCTTTCTCCTTAGAAGCCTGACAAATTTCAGAATAGCCAACCCTGGATTCATCCAGGGACCCTGTGCCTCCCTGGGAGTGAATCACACACTGTGGGAGGCACCTCCTTTAAGTCTTCAGGTTGTAATTTAGGAAGTTACTAAATTAGGCCCATAAATAGTGCTCTCATGGCTGAGGAGAGAAAGGGCTAAAGAGGAGTGTCCAGAATGTTCTTATGAAGTAGATTTATCACCAGCAAGAGCAGGTCTGTCTTATTGTCTTTGCCCAGATGTGCTATTTCTGAATGCTGTTTTGTGCAATATTTCAGAAACAAAACCTGTAAAACGGCACAAGCGTCTCTGAACAAAGGTCTAGCCTCTGAATGATGCTGTATACATTCTTTTCATTTGCAATTACTTACTATGCAGCTTAAAAAATTAGTTTCCATTCTTGAATTCAAATGCATAAAATCTGTTTCTATAGTTTAGGGTACATATTACTAGACTTTGACTTAGGAGATGAAAATTCTAGTCCTGGTTCTATCACAGACTGAGCTGCTCTGGGTAATTCTCTTAAGCTTCCTGGACCTAAGATTCCTCCAGAACCAGAAGTGTAAAGCCCTTTCCACCCTGAAATCCCATGCCTCCGTATCTTATCAGTCAGCTGTGCCAAACATCTCTGTGTACACTGAAAGAAACCATTGATCTTTTATTACTTGTGATGAAATTTCATGCATAGCTCTGGCTGCTGATAATTCTTTTGAAACGTCTACCTTATTTTCAAATCATGCAAAATTTCAGCTTTTCAAGAATTTCTTTCTTCTGATTATAGTGCTCTTATCTAATTCCATCACTGAATTCCCACACTGCTTTGAATCTATCTGCTTGCTACTAGCTTTTCTCCACTGGAAAGTGAACTTCTTGAGATCAAAGACTAAGTTTTTATTCACGTTACCTTTCTGTCCTTTTGCATAATACGCAACCCTCAATAAACGTTCATTGAATATATACATAAGAGTGAGAGCAAATAGTGCAAAGTCATACAAATGCACAGAGAGAAAAATGTGTGTTGGGAGGCCAGGTTATACAAAGGAACCTGTTTAAAATTTGCTTGCGCCTCCTGAAATGAGTAGATTTCACCCAGATCGGGTGCAGCGCAGGGCTCTCCATGCTGAGGAAACCACACCGGCAAGGTCACAGCATGTGAGAGTAAACGGCATGTTTGGGGATAGCCAGGAGGTTTTTGCGCTGGGCACAGGGGACTTGAGGAAATTTGTGGTGAAACAGGAGGTTCCACAGGATCCCCGGGGGAGGCGGGGCAGATTAGGGAGGGCAGGAGGCTTCTAGGCAAAGGAATTTGGATCTCTCCCTGTAGACCATGCAGCATTAGGAAGGAAAAAGGGAATTGTCTGAGCAACATTACTGAGCTGATCTTACAAAGAATGTCCTGGTAGAGAGAACTGGCATTAGAAACCTAGTGTAACAGTCCAGAAAAGGGATGGTAAGGATCTCAACTGAGATAGTGGGGGAATGAGACTTGAGAGGTTTGGATGAGCTTAAACAGAACAAAACAGAAGAAGTGATTGAGTAGCAAGGAAGCTACTTCCCCAAGCAGAAGCGAGGAAGGGAAAGAATGAAAAATTACCCCAAGCTTGGTGATTAGTTATCACAGGCAGTGCAGAAGGAGACGTGCACTTTTCATTGGGGGAAAGAACGGCTGAGGCAGGAAAGGGGAGGGCAGGTAATGAATTTGATTCCAGATGTTTCTGAGAATAATTCCCCTTGCTTCAGGTGTTATAACTTATTTTAACTTGAACATTCATGCTTGACTACACTTCCTATTGCCTTATAACGTGAAAGGAGACTATGAATAGTTAATAGACGCTGATGAACCACCACGGTTATAGTTAGTCACCTGTTAACTGTTCCTATTAGTGCTAAGGTGATCTAAATAGGAGTGCCCACCATGGACTTTTAGTTATATTTGAAACATATTCTGTATTATTTTATCTGTAACATTTTCCACATATAGACCTTATCTGTAATATTTCTCTAGCAAAGCCTTGAGATAGTTATTTTGGGTGCTTGCTAAAGATAAAAACATTAGACATTATCCTGCCACCACGCCAATGACATTCCTTCCCATTAAAGCCGCTCCGTCTTTCTCCCACTCCTGCTGAGTTTACACATTTTAATTGGTTCATAATTAGAGCAAACACAGGCAGCGCAAACCCCTGGTTGTTTTGTCATGTTGTCTTCATCCAGAGACTGCAGAAATCTTGATTCTGAAGGAAAGAGAAAACACATTCATATCAAAGGAAATGTCTCAAAACTAAGGTCAGAGAGAGCGGCTAAAACTTGGAGACCTCATAAAACCTCTGTCTTATTCAAATTCTCACTCCCTTTCCCTTGGCTGGGGATATCAAAGATGAAAAAAATAGACAGAAATAAGAGATGTTCAAAATGTGGGGTCACTGAAACCTGAACAACACAGAGACACACAGCTGTCGGTGTGAAATTCATTTTCAGACTCCTGGCACAGTCATCAGGCAGCAGCTAAGAATGAAGAAAGAGCCAGGTGCCCCTCGGGGTATTACTCATGGAAATCTCACCTCCGAAGTCTGCCACCACCGCATGTCCATCCTCATAAAGAAGAATGTTATGACTGCAAAAGAAAAAAAAAGTGGACTTGGAGTAAGCTTTACTATTTCCTAAATCACTTGGCCCCCCAAGGAAGGCGACAGCAGACTTCATTTGTTTACCCCAGAGACTAAAACAGGCCCCCAAAGGCTGACTGCAATTTTCTTTTTTTGTTAATTCAAAAGAGATACCATATTTATAAAAAGTTAGCATGGTCTGACACTGACATTATAAAGAATTCCTACTTTAGCTAAACCCTCTATATTTGTCAAAAAGAGCCATAGCTGAAGATTTTTAGGCTTGTTTGCTAACCACTGTGGTTACAGGGTAAGAGGCATCTCAAAGGCACCAGGAGCCTCTTAGAGTCAGAGAAAGAGAGCCGGCTTGCTGGAACCACAGGCAGGAGGGAGGTTCAAGGCAACGCCGGAAATGAAGACAGCAAGAAGGCTCTAGATGGAAAATGCCTTGAACAATACATTCAGCTACAATCGCAGAGGAGTGTTTTAAGGTCTGTGGAACGAAGCCAGGTAAACCACTTTTTAAGGTTTTGAGGAATAAAGTGTACAGGTCATCAAAGTCTCCTTTCTTATCCAGAATTCCTGCTAGATCAAGAAGAGTGTTGGAGGAGCTCTTACATTTTCTCACAGCAAAAGAAAGGTTGGTATGTGAGGCGACTGGGCATGCTAAACATCCCGAAGGATAATCTTTTCACAGGGGCGTGTACATCATATCACTTTTTAATTATAAGTACAGGTAGTTTTCTTTTTTTTATTTGTCAGTTATACCTCAATAAAACTGGGAGGGGGTAGTAATTTTTTAAAGAAGTAAATCAAAGATCAAGCCCGGATTGTCCAAAAGAGAGGGTATTTCTCCCACCAATTAGTGAGCTGAGTTGTGGACTATCTTACAGACAAGCGTATGATGCCCAAGATCGTCTCCAAATGCCTCTTCCTGAATGTCTTTGATGCCCACTTCACCTTGGCTTGCAAATGAGTCATTTCATTATTAGGAGACTCCTGGATATTTTTAAATTCATATAGGCCAAACTACATTTATTTTATAAAAAAGTATATACTGTCCTCGTAGCTTTAATCACTTTGCCTTATGATCAAATAAGAATATTATTGTTTTTTAGTCCTAAGTGAGTCCACTATGAATCATTTATATAACTGCTTTTTGGCATTGACATGGCCTTTATAAGAAAGTTACTTTTGAACTTACATTGTGATTGTTAATGATTTTATCTTTGGAGTATAATCTTTTCAATTACGGAAAATCTAAAACGTGTTAAAGTCACTTTTCTTGGAGTAGCACAGTGCAGGAATGTTGCAGGATGTCAAAACAAGAATCTGAAAAATGTTCTGTCTAACCGCAAATTACTAATTGATACTAATTGATATGTGTGATGAGAGAGAAAGTGTTATGTCTGAGAACATACAGCATCAGGAGCTCTGTCAAAGTCCAAATACAACAAGAAAGGTGTGTCTAAATGCTGCGCCACTAGATTCCCCACAGGATTTGGAAGAGTTTCATTGCTATACCCCCTCAGCCTCTCAGGGGATAATCAGTGTTATATTTCACATATATCCTTGACCCACATACAGAGCACAGATTCACCAATCATATTGAAGTTCTTCACACATAGCATTGTTTTGTTAATCCCATTATTTTATTATTAACTTCAATCAGTTATCTATAGCAGTGGCCATCAAAACGTTTTTAGCAGTATGACCTTAATACATTAAAAAAAAAATTTGCAAGTAGATCTGCTCTAGTTAAATATAGAAAAGAGCTCACTTTTAAGACCCTATTTAAAAGTCTTCTTTTTTTATACAGTAGCTATGAAGGCAATGCCTCTAAAGCGTGTTCTGGAGAAACCTCAAATAAGTTGTATGTCTAGGGCCCATTTTAGTTGAACTTCTTCCAAAGTACATAGTACATGTTACTAGGAATGATCACATCAGCTACGTGGAATGGTTAGCAAAAATTTACTCTTGTCTGAAAGATGTTTAAGTAAATGTGGTCACTAGGCCCGTGAGTGAGTGCATGATGGCATGAGGGGCAGGCTGCGTCAGGATGCAGGGATTGTGTCTGGTGCATTGACATAGCTCTAGCATTTTTAGCACACCATTTTTCAGAGAGAAGTATTCAATAAGCATTTTCTAAACAAATAAATTCATGAAAAGAAACTGAAAATAGATTCTACTATTTCAGGTAACATTCAGGGCTTGTAAAGACAAAGATTGAATTATTTAATCACTAAGTACTCAATGACTACCATTCATCAATCTATAAATGAATATTTAAAATTCAGAGAACACTAAACTGGAAAAGCCATTAGAAGTCATCTAGTTAATCCCTCCTTGTCTCTATAGAAGATGCCCAAAGCTCAGAGAAGTCAAGGGTATCACCAGAGCCTCACAGACAGTGGCAGTGCAGATCTGGAATTCAGAGCTCCCAAGTTATCATCTCAGATGTTAGAACAATTCCTAACAAAGAGTTGGTGCTATTTTACATACATTCTACGACTCATCCCGGGATCATACCTACGCACTTCTCTCCAGAGCATTTCCTCACGTCATCACAGGACTCTGGGAGATGCAAACTAATACAAGTTGCGGATTTCGTCTTCAAGGGACTTTTGATATGCTGGTGTAAAGATGAGTGTTTTCAAAGAAAATAGTATAAGTTAGGAAAAGGATTAGCTTTGAAGGAGCTTTGAAGGGCTGCCAGTTAGTAAGTGTGTAACTTTGTGCTGAGGCTTTGCCGTGTGACAGGAAGTTTCCTATCTGCTGGGTACAGTGGTGAACAAAACAGGCAAAGACTGAACTTACAGTGTCATGCAGAAGAGAGGAGACAGGAAGAAAAACGGAGGAAAGGAAAGGTCAAGTTGGGGAAGAACCTGGCAAGGCACAAATTGACAATGCGTGTGGTATGACATAGGAGTTATAATGGGATTATAATGAAACTTCTTACTAACTGGAGAGTCCACGCTGAAGGATAAGGGGATATTTGGGTGGGAGCAGGGGTGTATTTCTAGGGAATTTGAAAGACAGAGGGCCAGTCTGGAGTTGATGTAGGAGGTACCAAGGGGCTAGTACTGGTTACTATAGTCTCTGAGAGTGGGGAGACAGGTATTAAAAAATAATTATAGGCATTGGTTACCAAATGACTAAAATAGCAAGGTTGCATATACAAGAGGAAACAGAGGAACCCGTCAGAACCTCTGAAAGAAAGAGATAACTAGGTCTGGAGACAGTTTAGATATAGAGGATGTAAAGAACAGAGCAAGCACAACCTTTAAAATCCTAGTTTGACCTTCTAACTGCAAAGAAATGATAATATACAATGACAAAGTGCCATCTTATCAGAAAGCCTGGAGATTGTTATGAAGAGGGTAGTGGCTGAATTGGTAGGGTATGGACCTCGACTAAACTCAGAGTTATACTTGGCAAGATTAAACTCTTCAGATAAATAAATAACCATAACATTTATCAAGTTGAAATCACAAAGCAAACACTTACATGTCATAAACAATAGCAAATCCAAACAAAGGACAGGCCAGCAATTTAGGAACAGAGTTATGAAATGGCCTTGCAGAATGAGGAGAGTCTAGAACAAATGGGATTCCAGCGTCACTGCAAGATGGTCTTTTGGATTTGTCTGCCCCTTCTCTAACTACTTAGTAACAACAAGTGCCACGTTTTAGAACTTCCTCTAAGATCCTTCCTTCATTTTGCTCATTAAGCTGTGCTTTCTACACTGAATGAAATAAATGAAGAGTGTAGGTGGGGGGTGACACTACCAGAATCTGTGCTGATCAGGGGCTGCACCCAGACCTGGGTGGGCATGATAGTCCAAGTCAGAGACGTCCTCTGAAGGGTCCTCAATGTCACAGTTGGAGATACTGAGGGAAGGAGAAGAGCTCGGAGCTGCAGCAGCTGGGACAACAGAAGTGGTGTGACTAGTATTAAACGATGAGTTCAAGAGTCTCTCACTGAGAGATGTTGTGAGCTCCATGTTTCAGAGGAGTGAAAATTGTGGGATGGGAAAATGCCAACGGAGAAGGTGCTGATATAGAGAAAAGGGAGTAATACAGAGTTAAGACCCCCAGTGGGCAGGCATTGGTGCTTTCCATACTTTTCCTTTCCTCGTGGAGTCAGCATGTGGTTGGTATTAGCATCCCTATTTTATAGATGGATAATTGAGGGTCAGATGGACAGAGTCACTCCTAGTAATCTGTGGAGCCAGTATTTCATCTCCAAAGCCTCCTCGTTTTAGGAGAAGCTGGTTCCCAAAGCAACCAGAATCCAAGGAGGAGTCAGGACTGCTATAATTAGGGGTCTGGACAGAAATTACAGAAATTCTGCTTGGGTGAAGAAAGCCCTGCCGAATGATGCCAAAAATACCTGTTTTCAATAACAATATAAGGCAATGAGACCAAAGTCAAATGGAAATAAATCTGCATTTTCCTCTCTTGCCCCTTACTTCTCAATCCTGTTCCCCAGTGGCAGGACTTGCTTGGACTGAAGGGCTAGCTCATCTCATTACCGACAGGGCTTCTGGCCTGTCAGATTCAGATCAGAGGGGTCTGATTCACAGAGCTACATCTGCAGAATGCTACCCCATGCACGAAGGTTGCTGTCATCTGGGGGCAGAAGACTGCCTCTGTCTCCCCGGATTTTATAGAAAAGCAAACAGGTACCAATAAACTTCACTGGTGGCCTTTTGAGGAAAAGGAGGTCTGAGAATCCCTGTTGCCTTTCTCTTTCTCTCTCCTGATGATATTTTCCCTGGCAGGGAAGCACCTTGTGCGCCGGCCGATTCTGCAGGGCAGATGGCAAGTTCCCTGTGCACAGAGGTGTGTCTCGTTCACCAGCACGTCACACATGGGCAGCCTCTCGAAGGGCGGAGTGCCAGTCTGTGCCTGCTGAGTCCGGGTGGTAAGAAGATTATTAGACTTATTTCCTTTTAGCTGTTGACTTGTGTCTCATTACTTCACATTCATTATTAAAAACAGGCATT